ACAAAAAGACATCTATACTTACTGTTCTTAAAATTCACTTAAATGAAGCCCATAACAGAGAAAGATAAAAGTCAATCGACACAAAACATATGCACTCTTATGCCAAAATGCGACGAATTTCAATTTTCTAATCTACATCCTACATTTGAAAGATGTATCCTATTTTTTTTATTTTAGTTGAACAAAACGAAGTAAACAAAATCTGCAGAAAAAAAAAATCCTTAACACGAAGGGTAAAAGTAACAACTCAGCTACGGCAAACATCTGCAACTTCTTCCTTCAGAAAAAGTAAATAAAAGTAAATTGATCAAAAATAAGAAAAGAGAGATACAATTTCCTGAAACAGATTTCCCACTGCACCTAAAAGACTCTTGCAATGTTGCGGTTCTATTCTTGTCTGATTATCAGGAATTAATAAAGACAATGCAGACACTTCTAGAAAATTGAACAAGAGGCTTTTTGCACAAGATGCGAAACCAGGTTAAAAAAGCTGAGATGCTACAAAATATGTTCAAATTTCAGATGTAAAAAAGGAATAGCAAGGGAATTTTCATAATAGCAACAAGAGATGTTGGAAGGTTTTCCATTAATTAATTTTATAAGAAACCAGGAAATGAAGTGGGGGGCTGGAGGTGACAAGGGGAACAAGTTTTGAATGATCCACAGTGTGTGGTATTTTATCCTTATCCAGTCTGCCTCAGTGACATTGTGATACATCAAAGAGCAAAGCTGAACTAGGGGAAGTTTCTACATGTACTGAACTCAACTCCAAGACTTTGCAACTGGGTGCTAAGTCTTAGTTCACGAGCAGGGATAAAACCAAGTAACTGTAGAAGTATGAGTGGAAATCGTCTAGTGTTTAAAATCAGTAATTTTTTCAGAATTTGAAAAGGGATGAGCCTGTTTTTACAGTGAACTATCACATATCTTTTCAGCTGAAAAAGCAACAAGAAAGCAAAAAAAGAGTGGCAAACAAAAAGGGTAAAGAAAAAAAATGAAAGGGTAAAGAAAAAAAATGTAAAACAGAAGACTGGAGTAAAAAAATGAGTAATGGATGAAATCAGAATAGCACACGTGAAATAATCTCGCCACTTCAAAAATATATGTGCAGTTCAAAGAGACCTAGACACATAAACTACATCATTTTGAACCTTCTAAGGTGACGGAAAACAACAGCTTTTTCTTTAATAAATATTTGATGGATGAACCAAAAAAAGTGCTGAAACTAGTAGCCAAATATCCGTCTGTTATATCCAAATTGGGAGATCGGAAAAACCAGCAATTTTGCATAGAAAAAAGAAAACAAGTGTTGCTTAAAAAAAAAAAAGCCTTGGATTATGAGGACGTATTAAGAGAACTTGACCTCCAAGTAGGATAAATGTCAGACAGCACACAGTAAATAGAAAGCATTAACAGAGATTTTTACTGAAATTCTTCAATTCTATTAATCAAAAGCAAGGAAAATAAGAAAAATGCAAAAACTTAAATAAAAGTAATATGACCACTCACAGCGACATTGAGTAATCCAACAAATGGAAATGATGACATCGCTTTAGCTCTTTTAATCTGAGCTCGGCCATCAGAGCCGCCCGAGTTGTAAAAAGACAACATTTTCTCCACAAGCTACAACAAATAGAAGAGAGTATAAGAAAATAAAGAAACATGAAGCCCTCACATCACTCAAGATAATTCACCCCCAGATTCAATCAAACAATTTATTTGATATATGATTCAAACAGTCATATAATCTCAATATGAACTTACTGTTGAAATGCTTAGTTCTTTACATGAATCCTTCCAAGTTGAAATGAACAACCGTAAATCTCCTTCAGAAAGAGTAAAATTGGCCTCATCGACACTGAAAACCTTCTTACCATCAGAATCATCAGCCAATTTAGGTATCTCTTGTTTTTCATGTCCTTGTAATTTGGAGGGGGCTCTTCCAAGCAGTTTGGACGAATCAGATTTTTCATGATTACGTTTTTCACCCTTCCTTTTCTTATTGGATCCCCCGAGCCGCTTCATCTCTTCCGCAACAGATGGATATGGACAACTATTGATGTTGTCAGAACTATTAAGATTTTTAACCTCATAAACATTATCATTGTCATCTGAGCTTGATGAATCAAATCGTGTATGCTTGCCACAATAATCCTTATGATGTAAAGCAAATGAGTCAGCACGCTCAGAGACAGTTAGGGGTTTATCTTGCCGCTGTTTCTTTGATGAGGGGATGTGATACTTTTGATGCAGCTCAGTTAGTAAGAATTTCAACGTTTCACCTTCTTGTCTCTTTGCATCTAGAATGAATGATACATACATCCTACAAAATACATCAATTACATATAGTCAGCTAATAGATTTCATACTACGAACAAGCTGAGAACATAATCTGCTAATCTCTTATAAAACCAGATCCAACATTTGAAAACAAAAAAAAAATAGAAAAATAGATAACATATGCAACCCATCATACAAAAGAATTCTAAGACAATCCAATGGTAACAAAAATCTGACAAAATGGACTGAGACAAATAAACCGCAAAATTCCACATGAATAGGATACGGAGGTAAAACTTATATGTGCATAACCCAACTAAACGACTAGTCAAAAAATTTATAAAACTGTACATGGGTGCAGCTAAGAGTAACTCCTATCTATGTAACAACAAACAACAAGATATCAAACCAGAGAATATTGATGTTACAGCCGCGGAATCTATTACTAGGAACTTATTCACCATTAAAGAGAAGGAAATTAAAAGCCAACTAATCAAAATTTAAATTTCTGCATACAAAAACATACCAAAAGATTTAAGGCATACAAAAAACTCACAAATAAATCACACTTAATGTGCTATCAAAATAATTTAACTCATAAGCAAGTTTCGATAATCCAGAGAAAACAATATCATACCGCAAGCTCTGAATACGCACACCAAGCTTTTCCTTGCTTGTAACTGATTTTTTGCTAGCAACAAAATTCAAAAATTCATCGAGCTTAACATCTTCTGTCATATAAGTGTGCAGATAGCTATCAAGAAATGATATTATCTCTTCACTAGTGATCTGAACTGGGCCAGTTGAACTAGATATGGATGGAAAATAGAGCAAGACTAGTGGATGCTGCAGCAAGGGTCCCAATTCCAGATCATCAAAAGAATCAACAAACTCGTTTCGGCATATTGCCACTTCCAAATCATGCAGGGTCACGATTCTCCTAGCCCCAACGAAGCAGTGAATAAATGCATTGACCTACAATCGATACACACACCAAATCTTTGTCTTTTAATCAATGGAAAAGGAAATAAACCTCACTTGCTATCTACACTACATCCATAGTTCTTTCGATCTACATAATCATAACATCCGTCAAGAATGAAATTGAACAATCTTACCTTGCCTTCAATGGCCATAAGTTGACGAAGGGAAGGAACATCTTGCATTTGCACACCCAAGGAACGCCAAGAATCAGCCTGAAGCTCTTCAAGAACAGCTCTCGACACTCTAGTCGAAGAAACACTCTCTCCAGCAGCAACAACTGATTTACGCGTCTTGTTAACCGCCTTATCAATCCTAAAAACTTCAACTTTACGCTTCGGCTTTGCAAATGACTTCTCCGAAGATACATTGTTCCCTCCATGGAACACTCGAGACACACCACCTTCATCAGCACCTAGAGATACACTAAAGGAATTAGCACTCTCACCAATAGCAAAATTGGATTTTGGGGCGACAACATCAGTCCCCTCTAAAACCTCCTCTTGCCGTCTTCGTTTAAACGAAGAGTTTTCAAAAGCTCCTTGATTCTGAGAGCTACTGATATCATTACTAGGCAGAGATTGAGGAGGGAAAGAGAAGCTGTTCTGAGAATGGTTTTGAAGGAAAACATTAGCGTTACCCCCAAATTGGTGAGGGATTTGTTGATGATGATGGAAGTTAAGACTCTGCTGGGGTTGAAAATTAGGGTTTCCGAGAGAGAAGCTTGATAAGTCTGGGAAATTAGGGCGGTAAAAATTCGCCGGAAACTGAGGCAGAGAGTACCCAATTGGTTGTTGATTGAAATTGGGAAACACAGGATTCGGCTGAGGAAGGTATCCTCCTCCAATGGGAACGGTGTTAGTGTTTCCGTTGCCTCTACCGCTTCCACTGTTCGTGGAGGGGTTTAGAGACCACGAACCGTCGCGGTTCCCTTGCATTCGTCGGCTGAGGAGGAAAAAAAGGCGACGAATTAGAAGAAACGGTTTAGTTGAGGAAGAAAGGGTTTAAGAGAGTCTCTCGTCTATTATATATGGTGAGAGTGATGCCGTGTGTCTCTGTTAGCTTCGGAAGGTTAGGGTTTAAAATGACGCGTGTACGGTTTTGGTTTCAATTTTGCAAACCGGAACCGGTTCAGTGAGTAACCTTAATAATTTTTTTGGATATGATAACATTGGGTCAAAGGCTAAGTAGAATCACTCTTAAATGAAATATTAGATTAATTTAATCGTATGATGTTTGATTATGTCTTAAATAGAAAGTAAGATGAGAAGTAAAGCACACGGTAATGAGTTGACATTATGTTATGTTGGAGTTGTACAATAAAATGAAATCTGCGAACAAATATAGTTAGCTTAGATACAAATTACAATCAAAGATGAATCACAATGTAATGACTTATGCCTTATTAGAACTCGTTAATCTCCGAACAAAGAATCAAACCATTGATCATTGTACTGAATTAAGCAACGCACCGATCCGTTTGTCGATTTTTTCGACATAGTATCAGAATTCTCCAAGAAGAAGATAGTAAGCAGCAAGAACAAAGCAAACCAGAAAAGAAGTGAAGAGAAGGAAGAGATAAAAGCGTGGATATAGAAGAATCATAATCAAGAACAAGACTAGTGAAATTGTTGCACATCTCATTTCTTTGGTTTCCCTTTGTTGGATGGAAATGAAAGAGATTTGACTTTGTACAAATATTTATCAGCAATCACTTCTTAATTAAGTAAGCTTTACGGTTATTTTTAATCAAATCATTTACCAAATCAAACCAAGAAAGTTTTGTGAATTGATCAAAGCATAAATATAAGAAAGACGGATCCTAAAACTCTCTCTCTAATTATATCTCTGTTACACACCAATACCATCAGAGTCTTTAACATTACTGAAGCAGGATTTGATCTGAGAGATTTTCTCAGGCAGCTAAAATTATCTTACACGATAATGTACAGCACAAAGTTTATATGGAGGTAATGGAGTGCTCAAGACTTTATTTAGCGCGTAATTTGTCTGCCACATAGAGCATATGACTGATGTTTGTAGGAGGATAGTTCTGCAGAAGTTTGAGGTTCGACGTAAAATCTCCCGCAAGCAAACGCCTTCGAACTAGAATCAACATCGCGCAACATATCCGTAGTAGCGTCTCCTGCAGTGTAATCCATGTTCACTTGTTAGCTTTTTATTTTACAAGAACACTAGTGCCCTCATTAACTCAATTCTGCTACATTAAGTTTTACAATAAGATCCAAGCAGAAACCAGTCTCTAGGACTTATATAACACATGCAAATCTGTATTGTTCTTGATGTCTGCTATTTCTTCCTTACATGCATATGTCTTAATGTCAAAAACCAAGCTGTTCAGTGTTCACAGGTGATAAAACCTCTACTGACTCACAAGAATGCACGATGAAACTGACCTCGTTCACGACTAAGAGAAGCTTAATATTAATAAACTGAATACTACCTGAGGACCTTCGGGGTCGCTTAAGAGTGTGTCCCAGATGTGAAGGCTTTCCACGAAGTTGAACTCTTGAGTCAATAGGAGTGTGATCCATCTGAACGCATAAAATTGCGGATTTATCTGAAAATTAACACATAGGTCTCAAATGTCACAACGCTGAAACATTTAAACATAATATAGCTCAAAAACTTTTAAGGTTTTGAAAAAATAGTACATACTACACATTTTGGTTGTTTTCAGCTAATAGGATTAAGAATTAGCTTCAGCACAACATTCATGCAACACATAGCTCTGAACCAGCAGCAACACATACCGGCAATATCTTCTATTGGGGTACCTAATTAATGAAAATTGCAAGACTTATCAGCCAAAGTTGTGTGATATCTTACTTTAGTTGTGACTTCTAAATGACGCCAAAGTTCCTCATCATGATGCTTCAAGAGCAACGACAGCCTTGTTATAGTGTAGCGTATACCCACAACACTGTTGTCAAGTTGTTGACAGAAGTTATCTCTAAACCCACTCATCAATTCAACAAAACAGAAAAATGCATCTGATTCAGCAAACGCCTGCATAACTTAAAATGCTAGTGTTAAGTAAATAAGAAGAAAGAGTGGCGTGTTACCCGAAAGAACCAAAAGACTGAAAGAGGTAGAAAAATCTGTGTACAAATCAAATCAGAACAAAAAATAGTATATTATCAGGAACAAGTACTTACTGCATTTCCTTTATCTGGGTCGTTTTTAAAGATGTAGTAAATAGGTGCCAATATCTCATTCATCCCTTGTACATATCTGATGCCAGGATTCAACTTTGCAAAGATAGTCAACACGTTCTTCAATGCATCCTGAAGATGCAAGACATGTATAAAGAATCAGCCAGAAAACTATCATTACTTATATGTTTAATCATCCCAAATGCTTTGACGTCAATGAAAAAAGAAAAAAAAAACAAACGCTCTAAACTATTGCGAAACCAAAATCGAACCTGATTAGCTTTTGCAGCCGCTGAATCCCCAGAGAAAAAGTGCATGTCTGGATGAGTACGCATCACATCACGGTCAATTTGTTCCAAGACTTCTGTGTCCTGAATAGTATCAACTTGAAGTTAAGAAGGTCATTTGAGCTTTATAAGCAACAAGAACGGAATTACCATACTAAAGCAGGAAGAGAAAAATATTTTTTCATAGTGATCATGAGCAGCATTAATGAGTCATGATTTTACAACAGAGAGTTGTACAAAGTCTAAAAGCATGGAGCAGGGCACACAAAGCCTTGAGAGAACTAAAAGCTAATGTCAGACCCCTGTCTTGTTGTATGCCAAATTGCCAATGGAAATCTACACCATTGTGATAATAATCTGCCTATGCGTTTTTTATCAATGTGACAAGGTATCCTATACAAATATTTAACTGTTACAAACCTTAACTATCCAAATACATAAGAACTGAAGGTATATTTCATAGGAAAGTTGGTTATCAGGATTTAAGTGAGAGGTTGTACTTCTCCAGTTCCTATACCTCTCCTAAATCTGCTTTTAAAACTGACTGGAAAGTGGAAAATCATGAAAAGAGAAAATAAATCAAAATTTGGAATTGCACAAAACCACTATAACATCACCATATCTGTGAATCATATAACTCAGCTATATCATCCATAAAAATTTTAAAATATAACTCAGCTACATCATCCATAAAAAATTTATAACTTTCAGGCAATAATTACAATTCGATAGTAAGTTAATAACATTTAAACTTGTCAAGTGTCCAACAAAACTAATAATAAGTGTGGATATCTCAAGCTGCAAAATCAGAATACCTTGAAAAAATTATTCCATACGCTTGTTGTTCCAAGACTTAAGGGATGATCTTCATGAGTAATATCTGACCTTGAAAGGGCACCAGGGCTTTCGATTTTCGGCTCATTACTCTCCCCGCCCTTTGATTTATCCATTTTCCTTGTTACTTCTGACTAACTAGCCGCAAAAATATGTAGAAACCAGGTTAATCTTAAACTGAAAACAATAACGAAACATGGAAAAGGAAGAAACATAACATAAGCGCTTCTAGAGCTACTTCTTCCATTAAACACTAAATCTTCTAATAGTACCTGTAGGAAGTATCACATACCCAATGTCCCTAGATCAGTCTGTTTAGTCAAACACATGACACGTTGACACCTAATTAGCTGACATCATATTATATACCTACAAGTTTCTGGATCAAAATAATAAAAAACCATGATCCCCCATTGTACTAAATTCAACTTGGTCAACAAATCACCTAATGAGAGTCAATATCTTATATCGGAAGTGCAATGTAATCATAACAATTCACACCCTTAGCTACTGGCAACAGAAGTGCAATGTAATCATAACAATTCACACCTCGTTTCGCAATAGTTAACAAAAATGTGACTGTGTCTTTTTTATTAGAATGGCATCCACTCTAATCACAAGTGTGGTTGGACTATCTCCATGAGCAAAAGAGTACACCGATTAACTCCATCATGTTTCTATTCACAAACCAATCAATACAGTGTTTGAATATCAATCACCAAAATGGACTTACAGGGTTCATCAAAAGCTCCTCTTTAAATTGCTTGTACTGCGACCTTTTCTTAGCTAACTCAGAAGACCACAGGGAGCGGTCCGGTGACAGATAATCCAGTAAAAGCTGCCACATTCAAGAAAACAATACGAAGCATAAACTCACAGAATAGGTAATCGGAATCTGTATCTTCTACATCTTTCTAAAATTCCATTCTCATATACAAGAAAACACTGAAAACATGTACCATTTCCATATACTCCACGAATTTCATGAAAATCACAAGCAAGTTCAAAGAAAACTCAACAAATCAAAATAGATTGCATCATTGCATTACTGAAAACACAGTAACAATAACGATCCATACTTATTCCCGTGAAGAACAACATCTAACACATTCGTTTCAATTTCTAATAATCAAAACCATAAGCGAATGGTGTTACCTTCCAGACAAGGGAGCGAATCCCAGCATCATCAGGTAAACCTTGAGAAGCTATTTTCCTCACTTCCTTCAAGTCTATCACCTTCTTCGATAACTGGCAATACCCATATCTAGACTAAGTAAACCACACAGAGCAAATAAATCAAAATGCACAGAGAGAGCATGAGGCACTAACCTCAGCCACGACTTGGGCTTTTCGAGAAACATCCTCAACCGAAGTAGCTGCCGGAGTTTCGCTTCCAGCTCCATCATTACCGGTCCCATTCTGCAAATCGTTAACCTCAGATTTGGAAGGAGGAGCTGGTGCAGTGGAAATCGTGGATGGAGAGGAAGAAAGAGGCGGACGCTCGACGATCGGAGGAGATGGAGGTGTGACGGAAGTAGCGGGAGGATTGCGGAGGAGACGATCGTCGACGAGAGGAGGAGGAGGAGAGGAAGACCATAGAGAACTGTTGAGCCACTCTGGGATACCTTTCTTAGCCATGGATTTGATTTGATTTTGGGAATTTTTTTTTTTGAGTTCTCTCTTCTCTCTTACTCGGAGACGGAGAGGTTGTGCTACTGCTCCGGTACAGCTGGGTCACGCTCAGGCCTCAGTGCGTCGTCGTTTCATTTTGTAAAATTTGCAAAAAAATAAAATGGTAATTCAAAATGATGGGACACGTGTCGGTTAATCGTAGTTTTACTTTGGAGTTGGACAAACGAGTAAAAAAATTTAATGGGCCTAGAAAAGGTGGACTTAAGCCCATTTGTTGGCAAAGAAGAAACTAAAAGGACTTTTTGCTTTCGCTATCTGAGACTGAGAGAGAGAAAATGGCGGCGGTGAAAGCAGCGGTGGTTTTGCCACGGCCGGTGACGTTTGTGACGGGAAACGCCAAGAAGCTCGAAGAGGTCAAAGCTATCATCGGCGATTCGATTCCTTTCAAGTCTCTCAAACTCGACTGTGCGTACTGCGTACCCATTTCAATTTCTCTCGAGAGATAACTGTGTTTACTCTTTTTCTCGAGTCTCATTGGTTTAGTTGTGTATTTCTTGAGTTGCAGTGCCTGAGCTTCAAGGTGAGCCTGAGGATATTTCCAAAGAGAAGGCTCGTTTAGCTGCTCTTCAGGTGCACTAGCTTTTTCCCTTTTTCTACTTGAACTCTTTATAAAATTCAGAATACTTATGTTTATGTGTAAGCTTTTTTGTGATCATAGTTTGGTTCTTGTATACACTTGTATTTTATGCTTCCTTCTGTTGAATGTGGGCTAGTAACAGTAAGTTGGTGATTAAGGTTAAGGATAGTAAGAACTGATATAAAGTTTGTTTGATTTGTAAATGAGAAGGTGAATGGTCCAGTCTTAGTGGAGGATACATGCCTCTGTTTCAATGCTCTGAAGGGGCTTCCTGGTATGAGTTCCTTTAGATTCTAGGTTTTTTTAAATTTACTCTATGTAAAGCAAATGATTAAATTTACACATTGTCTGAATTTATATTGATTCTTTCTTTTTTGTTGAATTTTTCAGGGCCATACATGTAAGTATTGTTTCTTTCATTCCTCTCTTTGCTCTGTGCTTGTAGACATTTCATTTGAAATATATATTTTCTCCAACTCCATTTTATCATGATGAGGGTTTATGTAAATTAGGAGTTCTTAAGTTCAGGGAATTACATACATAGATATGTTACGTTGATATATGTATGCTGGCCTTTACTTCTGAAGCTCTCTTAAGTGGTGCCTTTATATGGATGTCCTGGAGAATTAACTGGTTGTGTTGGATCAAGTCTTGTTATTAGTTCTTCATGGCCGCTGCTAAATGGTTTGAATGAATAGCCAAATGGAGTTCTTTTATTGTAGACTGAATTGTAGAAGAGACCTCTATGTTTGCTGGCATCTACTACTATCGTAATAGATTGAATTTTAGTGTGGGACTACCTGTGTTAGAGCTATGTTGCTGTCTCTAGAGGTCTTCTTTGTTGCACTTACGATCTTCTTTTCTGTTTTTGCAGCAAGTGGTTTCTTGAGAAGCTTGGACATGAAGGTTGTAAAAGTCAATTGTTTCTCTGACCTCTTCCTTTCTTTCATTTATCTCTTACACTAACATCTAATCTTGGTCTGTCTGTTGTCCAGGTCTGAACAACTTACTGATGGCCTATGAAGATAAATCAGCTTATGCATTGTGCGCATTCTCTTTCTCGCATGGTCCAGGTGCTGAACCTCTTACATTTTTGGGGAAAACTCCGGTATGTTAAACATTGTCAACACTCTTTTCTCAAACTCTCTGCTCCATCTTCTAGTCATTTTATTTTTGTTCTGTCTCTTATTGCTAACTGTCAAAATTTGATTGTTTTCTGCCTTGTGATTGATGTGTCAGGGTAAGATAGTTCCAGCAAGAGGACCAACTGATTTCGGGTGGGATCCAGTGTTTCAACCTGATGGATATGACCAAACGTATGCCTCTGTTAACTCCCAGTAAACATTGTATTTAACATCATTAATGGGATCCTGGTTAAAGAGGAAACTAAGAGTGGTTGGTAATATTCTCTATGTTGGTTGTAGTTATGCAGAAATGGCCAAGGAAGAAAAGAACTTGATATCTCATAGGTACAAGTCATTAGCATTGGTGAAATCGCACTTTAAGGAGGCAGGCTATGTGTTTCAGAAAGATGATGATACCATTTAAGAGATCTCAATCATCAATGTATCCA